GTGTTTGTAATTCTGTACATTTTAATTAAGTTAATTGTTATTGGTTTATTGTAAGTGGCTATCGTTCGGGACGAACAATACTAAGGAGGGGCAGTGTTGCGTCAGCGAGGTCACGTGACAAGTGTCACGCCACTCGTTCTTTCGAACCTTCGTGAATGCCCTAGCATTTACTAGATATATTTTAGTCTGGTATATATACGAAACTTTAGCGACACAAGTCCTTACTTAATAAAACTGATTTATTCTTTCTGAATATAACTTTACCGATACACTTATTTTCAACAGTCGCTCTATAACAAACGTTTTAACAACAAACGTTAACTTCAACAATACTTTCTGACTGCAGTTCAATTACTCACTACCCACACACATTATCCCATCACGTTGTGATCGTCTTATATATATACCAGTCAAACATATATCTAGTAAATGGTAGAGCACTCCCGAAGAAACGGGATAGTTCTAGAAAGCAGGTGGCGTGACACTAGTCACGTGACCTCGCTGACGCAACAGTAGCAATAATGAAATTGAATCACATCAGTTTACTCCAGTGTGCCGACTGTCTATTTAAGCATGCACAGAGAGCCAACTACCAAACAGCTATATAGAAGTGCTTGGAAAACAGCCCTGAGATTCCAAGTGCCATTAGCTTTGTGGAAGCTTAAGTCTGGAGATGGCCAAGATGAAATGACTATAAACTGAATAGATGGTTCTTCAGCAACTGAAGCAGCACCGGAACCTCTGGCTCGTAAATGTGCAAGATCCTGTTAAATATCAGACTATCCATTCTGAGACATATGGAAATCGAGAAAAGTGACTGCGAGCTGATCTCTCAAGTGACGACGAATTTAATGAAGTATAGTTCTAATACAAATGCAAAACAGATGAAGTTGTAAACCGCAGGAGTTGGTGATAGTACTATTCATCTACAGGCATGTATTGTTCAACTTATGATTAACCACACAGATAGAAAACTTATAATTTTCTTCAGATATGCCAATTTCTGACTTACAGCAATTATATGGCATAACTTCTAAAAAAAAATAAAAAAAAATATTGTTCTCTTAAATGTGTCCAATAAATAGTTAAAAGTGTTTATTTTGATATAAAAATTTTTATCATTAGCTTTGTTTAAACTCTTCTTTAAAATTGATTTACAATGATTCTCTGTTCATATAATAAAAATCATTTGTGTAGTATTTCTTTTTTCGTCAATATAAAGGGGCGATTATAAGTGGCAAATTTTCATATATAGTTACATGATCAAAGCTGCTATCATTCATTTTTTTCATTCATAGATATACGGCTTTGAAACTTACATTATTAGAATGTGGTACTGAAGGGACAAAATTCAATTAACAGGTCAATGGACTAAAACCTGAAAGTCAGTGTCAAAAAATAAAACAAAACAAATAAAGTGATTTAAATAATATTTTATAACAAGTTACAGCTTTTACAGTAAGGAATATTATTTTTTTAAACGGGTTCGACGTTTTGATCATTTTCAAGTACTCAAAACGAAATTATTGATTTAAATAACATATCACTCTATTAATTTCAGTTTCAGTTATGAGTATGGATAGTTTGTTGATGTATTATACTGTCAAATTATTAAATTTGAATTTTGCTTATAAAATTTTCATTGATTATCAATTTATTTTTGAAGATTTTTAAATTTGCTTAGTTTAACAAACATTGTTCATTCATTAACTGTCATACAACGATTATTTTCTTTATTTTTATCAAGTACAAAACCGCTCAATGCTCGCTTGTGCTCTGCCCATTTAGAATCTCGAAACCCATTTTTCAGCGTTATAAGCCCTCAGACCTGTCGCTGAGCCACCAGGCGGCTGTACCGATGCAGAAATGTATAAATTCAGTGCAAATAAAAAGAAAGTACATAAAGTAACTTCATAAAATGAGCTTAATGTACTATATAATTAAAATATTTTTTTATGAATATTGTTTTTACTATTTTATTTGTATTATATACATTAGAAGCTAATATATATATACTTGATATTTAATTTTTTCTGAAAGTTTATGTTTAAATTTTTTGTCCGCGTGGTAACGCCTTTACCAAATATTTCCAAAAATACACAGCATGTAAATTGTGTAGGCCTTGTGCTGAAATATATATTGTAGTAATAATACAGTATTTTTCACAGGTAAGAAATTTGGAAATATATGACATCATACATGTGGTACGTAAATAACTTTTTCATTTTCAAACTTCCAGTGGAAAATATAGTAATTAAATTATTATTTTTTTAATGCTAATTGAACTTTAGTTTAGTAGATAGTTGAATGGACAGATTGTAAATACTCAAAATCAAATAGTCTATAGTTTAGTATATTTGTAAATTAAAGAATTGTTAGTCTTGGAACTGGAAATTGGACTCCGAGTGATTGAGTTTAACGTTTTTAGAGTACAATAATAATAATAAATATGGGTATGACATTAACTTTAAGTTAGATTGTGTTTATTTTAGAGTTGTGTTTAGTAGGCATAACATTAGAGGTACTTTTAACTTTTAGTCTTACTGATTTTAGTTCTAGACTTCAGTTCACTGGCACTGATGTAGAATAATTAGGGCAGGGATGCTTTACATACGACCACAGCGATTACTTGTTCTCCACAGGTTTTGTTTTATGGTCCTTCATGCCTGTTCCTGCACACACACTTGGAAAAACAATGAAGACTAAAATACACATTTTTTTTTTCGGGAAATTTTCGAATTCGATTTTAAGCTTATAAACTGCTAACCTCGACTACAAGTGACAACCAAAGGCAACTAATTCCATAAGGCAGTCACCCTATTGGAAAAATAAAACTTTACTAAGTGAAACTTTGTCCTGTTGTCTTCAGAATGTATTGCAGAGAAAAGAGAGGGATTTATCTTATCCCTGATTAATCTTGTAAATGTAACTAGATAATGTCTCACCTTTCTTTTGTCCAGAGGAAATAAACCAAATTTATGACAGTACTCCTTCCCTGAACCCTTGTTTAGTTGTTAATAAGTCAGTATCCCTTCAGTACTTAAATAAGGAGATCAAAACTATACATAGTATTTCAATTAAGGCCTAGCTAGTGATTTATATAGAGATAATTACTTTTTTTTATGTAATCAGTTATGAGTATGTCTATAATTGCATCCTAAAATTCTATTAGCATCTGTACTAGTATAAAAATACTGCTTAAATGGTTTTGTGACTTTCATTACTGTGCCAAGATCCTTTTCTTCAGTTAATGGTATTGAGTTTGAGATAGTTGAGGAAGAGAATAATGCTTTATGAAAAGATTTAGAATATTTTGGGAACTGGTCAAGTAAGTGGCAGAATGGCTTTTATTTTTTTAATTATAATAAATGCAAGGTAATGCATGTGGGTTAGGCCACTATTTGTTAGTTTCTCATCATGAACTTCCTCAAAACTGGATGAGGGTGGGAGGACACTCCCATTATGTCATCATTATTAAGATTTCCAAATTCATTAATTTAGTGCTCTTTATAATGCTTCCAACAGAAATGATAGACGAATGTATGTACATCAATATAAATTTGATATGAAGTACACAAAAGTATTTCTTTTATAAACACACACACAAGAGTGCTGTGAGAAAACCCAACCACTAAAAAATATAAATTTGATGCAAGTAACAAGACTCTGAAAGACAGAAACAGACTTGTAGACACCAACAAACTGTTATCATGAAGATGATGCACTACACAATTACTTGTGCAATTAAAGGAATCTACTTATTAAGATCTCTTCTGTACTGGAACCCTATGTCAGCATTGCTCACATAGCATCCATTAGCAGATTGATTGTCAGAACTACAACTATATATACAAATTGGATCATTTTTCATTAAATAATACAATTTCTCAATAGGCTCATGGCATTGCACCTCCCAAACATGTACTTCACTAACAACAGCCGGGAGTTGTAAGTCACTTAAATTTGCACTACATGTGTAGGTGTAGTCTTATAAATGAGTTGCAAGTTGTTGTCTTGCTGGAGCTGACAATTCACAAGGTAAGTAAAGAAGCTGCCACATTTCACACTCCTCACACTATACCATCAGATTCACATTGCACACATGCTGAATACCGACTAAAATGGTAGAGTTCTTTTCTTTGTGGGTTGATTTACCAAAGAAAGGTGGAAATCTTCAATTGTGGTAGTACTATAAATATTTTCAAAATGCTTGTAATATCCATCATCTTCAGGGATAGGGTCGGGAAGAAAATGAATTTTGGAGAATACCTCTGGTCCAAATCTAGGTGGCTTACAAACTTTGCAAGCAGGACTATCGCACTTCTTGATACAGCAATGACTGATGAACTCCTTCAGAGCACTGTGTGACTGCAAAGAAGCTTTCTGGTATTTGTGCCCATATTTCAGTGAGTCATCAATTTGAAGGAGGCTGTTCCAAAAGTCTTCGGTTACTTCTTCCTTTGCAGCAGGACACATCTGAAATGGTTTTCCTTTAAGATTCAAGTGGCCAATTATGTCCAAAAGTAGGATCTTCACTGATTCAGTGCTATAAAGTACATTCTGTACTAATTTTGTTCATTCTTCAGCAACTTGCCATAACTGCTTCATGTTGCTGCACTTGGAAATTGCTACTTCACTTTCACTGTCCATTTCTTTTCTCATTACTCTTACTGCTTGGAACCCCAATTTCAATATTGACATGGGTCGTTCTACAGGGTTTCTCCAGGAATGATAAGGAGCAATAAGACAAACACATATATAAGTCAAGATCTAGCTCCAGAAACAGAGAAATCAAAGATACTTGTACGCTCAAATAAGTTAATATATGGTCAGACCCATGATCAGAGCAGAGAAAAAGAAGGGGATTTGACTGCAAGTTTTTTGCTTGACAAAATAAGCTCATAGATCTCAGCACTATGGTGCTGAGGAGACAATGACCCAAAGACAGCACCCTTTAACTCTTTCAGCACGGGCTCTATCCCTGGGACTGACCTCATAACCATTTTGTGCTTGTTATAGTTTTTATACTATAATTTTTAAATTAGTAAGCTTATGTTAACAAAAATTGGCAGATTATCAGTAAACATTACAATTCTTTCATACGCAAAATATAAATTTTTTTTTCTTAAGTCTTAAGGTTTGTAAAGCGAATTTTTTTTCATGTGTTGCTTATCTAACATGCAAAGTAATTTTCATTCTAATATTAAAAATACTTTTGTGCATCAGAAAATCTTCAAATTTCATATGCAAAATCTTCATGATGTTCAGATAGTTATCAAATGTTTCTTAAGAAAAAACTTTATATTTTACCTGTTTGTTTCAGTAATGAATCTCTGTACAGGTTTGTTGATTTGACTGATCTCGTAAACATGTTAAAAAAATTTGGAAATTAATATAAGTTACGCCTTTTTTGTTCCATAATGACTACAAATTATAATGTGAAAACATAAATGTTTAGACTAAATAGCTTAAATCTTATAACATTATACATTTATATATATTTATTATTTTTATTATATTGGCATGTAAGCCACGCCTGGCTAACAATACAGAAGTTAAAGTGATGCGACGCATGTGCACTCATGTTACTGTATCCAACAATATAAGACTGTCTTGGCTGTGTTTTAGTAGACTAGTATTTTGTAAAATACAGTCACATTTCAATTACTATACACTATATATGTATATAGAAAATAAGATAGGTACTTCCCTCCCTTCCTCCCCACATTTCTTTGGTGCTGACATCTGCTGCAAAACTTCAAAGTGATAGCTGGGTAAAGGAGTGTAGAGGGAGTCACATGCATCATGTGAGCATATCATGCTCGTATTGGTGAGGAGGTGACACATAATGATTTGCATGAGAGGCATGTTGGAATGTTGCAATTCTAATAGGGGGAGCAGAAGGCTTGTGGCATGTGTAAAGAAAAAGTTTGAATATAGAGGGCAGCACTGAACAAGAACAGCTAATCTTGTGAGAGGAGGTAAGTACTTATCGGAAATACATTTTCAGTATAGGAAAATTATAATGTTCATTATCTTCCAATAATGATTCACAGGTCAATTATTATAGTTTACTATATATTTCAGTGCTATAGCATTCAGATCAAATCCTTTATTTTTATCTATTTTTGGCCTGACAGTTATATCCTCAATGTAATCAAGTCACTAGTGCAGCATTTCTCGTAAAGAATTTTATGTAATCTCCGTATACATATGCAGCATTGCATACACACGCACACTCATATATATATATATATATATATATATATATATGTATATATATTCATGCATGTAAATTGCCATATATATATACACATACATACATTAACATTACCTCGTATATGTTTATAGTGTCATACAAACTGCTTATAGCCATATGCACAGTAACTATATTAACCTTACTGGCTCCTTTTTCCAGCTGTGTCTCAATAGCTACAACCTGTTGTCATACTGACATCTTTAAGCCATTAAACTTGACTCTTTCCTTCAACATCATAAAATAAATGATCTCAGGCAGAATTCGGCTAAACTAAGAATAAAATTCAATCAGCCAGGATTAATATTTGTGCTGTTCAATGTGGCATACATCAATGCACATTTATACCAACACAGATTAAATGCAATATTCAACAACAAAAAACATTTATTGTTCTAGATGGCCTCAAACACCAGAAGCTGATTTATCACAATGTTGAACTGAAGCTCATGAGTTAGTTCACTCACTTTAACCAGTATCACAGAAAAATGAATATGCAGGAACACAAATACTTTTCCACTAAGATTTACTATATCTTTTGCACTGAATAAGAGTGCAAATTTATCATTGTACATGTACTAGATCATGCTAACCAGGGGTACAGGTAATGGAGCAAGAGATATAATAAAGGGGGATACAGTTTTTGTTGTGCACTTATGGGCTAATGATGTAGAGAAAGGTAGATAATTGATAAGTACGAGGGGCTGATAAAAGAAAAGGGTCATAACTTAATTGTGTCAGAATTAATTGTGGGGATGGAATTATAAGTAAGTCACTAGAACAATGCTTGGCTTAGGTTAATATGAAAGGATCAGCAGATTGGCGGTTTGGACTTCTGGGAGCAGCTTAACCCTATAGCCCCGGGTATTCTTTACTGTGTGTGACACAAGGTTTTAGTGTCTTGCACTCAAAATTTTATTAAATTACTTTTTGTTTATGTTATACCAATTAGAATAGCATAAAATCTTAGGTAATAATCCATATTTTAATGGTATACAAGTTTTAAATTCTTAATTCTACAAGGGAATATAAAAAATATCCTGAATTTCTGCTAGCATTACCCATGGGACACATTTTGTCTTAGCATGTCATCATCCCTATTTTATCCATCACCTCTCAAAAATGTACGAAGTTAAATGTAAATTACTTTCTATAAAATCGTAATTGCTCAGACAAACCTTAATTTTTATGGTCTTCAATTTTGTTTGGTTACAGAGCTATTGAATAAAAAATCAGACCCCTCCTTTCACATCCTCTTTCCCAATTCGTTGATAGTTCTCTCTTATGTTTCATTATATATTAGCTATAACTAATAGAAAGTGAAGGGTTTCATCTATCAAATGACGTATTGTATAACGTCTTTTGAACAGGAAAGGATCAATTTCAATCATAGTACAAGTGTTGTTCCTATGAGAAAGTTAACAACTAGCTTGGATGAATTTGTAATGGCTCTTGTCGCATAGTTAGAAAGCCAGAAAAATTTTGAGTGGTAAGTGAATTTGTCTACTTTTTGCATGTTATTAGTTTATATTCTTTGGTGCATTATTTAGTTAAATGAAAACTATTAAATGCATTGCTTTTAGTACTATAAAAGGTTAGGGTTAACTCTCTTTAAAACCCGACAGCAAGAAAAAAGATTAGTCAAGTATTTTTTTATCTTGTTTTTCGTATCTATTCTTTATTTATTATTATAAAAGTAACAAAATTAATAGAAATATGGATCTTTTTAAGTTATGTAAGACTAGATTAGGTAAAATAAGTAATAATGATAATATAATTAAAATGGTTCACATGCATGCAAGCAGATCCTGGATAATGTAAATCGATAGCGTAATGTGACCTGCACATTCTCCGAGTGATTTACAACTTTTAATGGTGCAAAAGTAGTTAGACATGGTCCAAAGGGCAATAAAACATTAAAATTTAATTATAAATAGATGTATAGTGTTATAAACTTAGAGATACTTATGATAAATGAATGTAGTTTCATGTTACAATTTGAAGTCATTCAAGAAAGAAAAAAGTTTAATTTAGGTTTTGTTTTTTTTTTTTTAATTGTTACGAGGTCGGTCAAATTGACTGATCCCATTTTGAGGTAAGGTAGAGAAAATAACACATAAACTATAAAGTTGTACAGAAAAAATGCTTGAAATGCATTTAGGTTTTAGGATCACATAAAGGAAATTTGAGATTTTTGGAGATGAGGAAAAGTATTTTAAATTTTAACATAAACTACTTTGCACATGGACTATTCAAAACAAATACTCAATATATTAATAGACAAATCTTTATTTTATTTTACAAAAAATACTTCACTAAAAATATGAAAGACTTATAATATTAAGTGAAAGACTGCCAAATTTTGTGAAGATATACCCACTGTATTGAGAGTTATAAGTATTAAATCTGCAAAGACTTTAAATGAGTACAAAAAGGTCACGTGGTTGGTCAAATTGACCAAGGCTGTATTGAGAGTGTTAATGGGAGAAGGGGGCTTTCCAATAAGGTACATTATCTCTGCGTTTCTTGTTCAATGCTGCCCTCTATATATACAAAAAAATATGTTCACAAACTTTGAGCGTACCCCACAATCAATGTGGTTCAACTGTGCCTAGTGTGCAAATCATCATGCTACAACCCTCCACCAATAAGAGTGCAACACACCCTACTGATGCATGTGACTCCCTCTATTTGATTCTAATGAACTATCACTTCTCGATTGGCAGTGCTATAGTCAAGACGTTTTTTGTTTGTGCTCTCTTCCCATGTTTTTGTTTTTTTTGTTTTGTGACATTTCATACAAAGTGAAGATATTTTTCCTACTTCACTTTACCAGTTTTAGGTGATAACTTACCTATATTGTTCTTCACATTGTTTTTGCTTTTCACTGAAGCTTATGTCTCCACATTGAAAATGTTATCATTTACTTCTAGCACAGTTACCCAGGCTTCAGGTGGCAGTACTCAACTGAGAAATTGTCAGCTTCAATACATTGGGAGATTAATCATTATATGAGTTGACCTTTGTCGACCCTCGAGTTTGGGAGGTCCATACACATTTGGAATACAGTCTGCCGACTTTGGACAGATAAGCTGTTATACTGTTATAGCTTTTGTAATAACTTTGTTATTAAAATTCTTTTTTGTAGTTCTTTGTTTTCAGTAACATACATTTAGTTAGATTTGTACCTACTTCTTGAAAGGTTAGGGTTTTTTAATTAATATTTAGTGATATCCTTTGTTCTACAATGTTAGATTAAGCTTAACATGTGTCTTATTTTAGGTTTGCTGTCATTCATTGTACTGGTAAATCGTAAAATAGGTTAAATATATTGTTTCTTCAACAAATACTATCTACTAATTTTCTTATTGTTAATATACACTTACTTAATTTTGAAATATAATGACTTTTTCATTTTAATAATTAATTATTTTTTATACTTCTTACAATTAATTTTGTTTGTGAGGACCCCTGGCTCCAGGGTCTGCCCAACCTTCTCCCAATATTGCTCACCTTCCTCCTCAAACTGCCGTACTCATTCGGGATGATGTTTATTTTGACCCTTTTTTTTTTCCACCTGATTATGACTTGGCCTTCCCAGACTTCTACTGCAGAGTCTGCTAGGCCTACCTCAGCCCTTTTTATACACGTTTCTATTCCCCCTCCTTTTCCAGACATTTTGCTTCATGCTGGGCCTTTTTTGTCTCTCTTTTGATAGGTGGTTCTGGTGTGCCTTTCTCTCCAAGGGCTTTGGTTCATATTGCCTTAGCTTACCATCAGGCAGATTGTTATTCTTTCTTGCTTCTCTGCACTTCAATCTCTGTTGCCTGTATGAGAGGTAAAATCTGTTAATCCTATCCTTTTCTCTTTTGATGAGTTTTCTAGCATTTGTCTTCCCCTGTCACCTCTCCTATTGGTATTAACCGTCATATACTTCTTTTCTGAGGTGTTCCTCCTATTTGTTGAGGATTTTTGTAAGATATTTTTAACTCCAAGTTGGGGCAATTACCATCTTCAGCCCTTTTCCTAAATTTGTGGCTTTTGTGCTTTTGGGATCTTCTCGGGTGGACACTGTCTTGTACCAAGTTTGTTTTCTTTCACTTCTAATCGGGACTTATGGACTGCTCTTTCCTCTACTGTTCCTTTTTTGTTGGGGATGTTACTCCTATGACTTTAGCATCACATGGGGGATCTATGTTGCTACATTTGAGTTTTTTCTTTTTTGGTTGCATGTCTCATTAGCCACTGCATTCTTTATTCATGTTTCATGTCTGGTACCTTCCCGTCATTTACCTGTCCTACATCTAAGAGTTCCTCCATTAGTCATATATTCTTGATGCAGATTGTAGTTCTTTGATTGATCTGTCCTACCTCAATCACTTCTTGTTTTTTTCACTTTTTTACTATATTGTCTTTTATCACACTCTGGTGAGCCATTTTTCCAGGATTGAGGTTGCCCAAGGTTGAAGTTTTATATTCTTATGCCCACTCTTCTATTTTTCATCACTTAGAGCTTGTTTTTGATCTGTATGTCTTTGTATCTGGTTCTTCATCCACTTGCTTTGACTGTCAAAGCATTCACACAGGATTGGGACTTGTTTAGATCTTTATTTCTCATCCTATTTTTCATCTTCCCCAAGTGATTTTGTTCATCCTTGCCACTTTGTATAGGGTCTTTCTGATTGCTCCTTCATAGCTGACAAAGATCTGGTTCTCTTGCCTGCTTCGGTTCGATTTGTTCTTGATCGATTTTTACCTATCCTCCACTTTGGCATGTCTTGTGGCATTTTCTTCCTTTTCTCCATTTTTTTCTTTCCATCTCCCATCTTTATTCCTGGTCAGATCTGGATGCTCATGGTTGCTTCATTGCCTTCAAGGCTTCTTATCATTGGTTCCCTTCATTACCCATTCAAGCCGTCTCCAAGTGTTATTAGTCTCAAAGTGAGTTCCTTGTCATCAAAATTGGTTTCCTTTCTTGCTGTTTCATTCTCTGGCACCATTCCACTGTTCTTTTACCTCCCTCACCCTTTTGACTCAGTTTTTGATTTGATTGGCATTTTCTTTCTTGTCTCCTTTTCCCCATAATCAATTCCTGGTATCTTCACTCTGATCAAGCACCTTCCCTTTTACCTGCATCTCACCCTTGTGGTACTTCTTCCTTCGAGCACTGGGACTACTTCTCATACATTTATCTCTCATTATCTGGGTAGCTGTAACTGTGATTGGGTAAGTTTCCCTTTTGTATATATACCTCTTATTTTTTAGGGGTATCTCCCTTGTTCTTTATAGATCCCACTCTGTGGTGAGTGGTACCTGTCCAGGTATACTTATTCAAATCTGCACTGTAAGGCCAAGATGACTTGACAACTATAACTTCCATGGCCACTAAATGCACACTGTTGAGATGGTGTGTTACACAAGATTGCTTGTAGGTTTTCCTCAAATATATTTGCTTCATTCATATGCCTGGACTGTACTAACCTATGGACTTCATGGGTAAAGCAGTAGGGGATAGCTGCCCATCCCTGCCATTCCTCAGATTGACTAAATCAAGAGTGGTCTTCTTTTTAAAATCGGGTTTTTGTGGTTTACTGTTGCACTGTTTCCAGTGTTGATGTTTCTCCGGACTCTCCACTGCATTTTCTCTGGCCTTTTTTTTTCTTCTAGGTGAGTATGGGAGTCCTTACAATTTTCCAGTTCCAAGCTGCTGGGGTGGTGGACCATGGAGGCATCTTCCTGAATGTGATAATGATATATGATACAAATAATAATGAACCCATTCAGTTGAGAGTAGGGCAGTGGTGTTCTCTTGGTATAGATGATGAGATTTCTTCCAACCTGAGGCTCCATTTCTGAGGGGATGTTGTAGCTTTTGATTTGGATCCCTCATTCTACCCCGACATGGATGTCAGTTTCCAGTGGCTGGGTTTTGGAGTCGGAGCTGGACCAATCAACATAAGTCCGCACACATGTATTACAGGTGTCTCTGTTCCCTCACTCAGGGTCACCTCGTGTTGTGGGTCACAGTGGATGATCATGCAGGTTACTACAGTTCTTCTTCTTGCACTATCCCTCGACGATTTTCATATACTGAAGATGTTACTCTATCTGGGGTGGTTCCTGTCTGATTGGTTTTGAGTGGGATATTTCGCAATACAGGGACATTTTTATTATTCCAGTCATTTGGATGTCGGGTTCCCAGATCAGTCAAACATCTTATCAGTTTGCTATCAAGTGTCCTGTTCACAGATTGGTGGGTATGATATTTCCCTCCGATCTGCTGAATTTGAGGTGAAGACAGTATGAGCCTCTTTCCTACCCCCACATAAATGTTGGTTCCCGGGGGCTGGGTTTTGGATTTTAGTGGAGTTAACAATGGTATGATCCTCATCCAACCCCCTCATTGATGTTGGTTCCTGGTGGGTAGGTTTTGGATACAGTTGATTTGCCGTATATGGTTCATCGTGCCACTCTACACCTTAGGGTTCATCCTTTTTACTCTCACCCACCTTATTGTCATCTATGGGATTTAGGTTCAGATATCGGGTGGTTCAGATTCCCATACAACCATTGTTCTCTAACTTTTTTTGCTCACGTAGAATCAAATAGAGGGAGTCACATACATCAGGAGGTTGTGTCATGCTCCTATTGATGGAGGGTTGTCGCAACATGATTTGCATGCAATATGCATTTGAACCAACAGTGATCGTGGGGTATGTGCAAGCTTAAAAAAACAATTTACATAAAGAAGGCAGCACTGAACGAGAATAGTTATTTATGTGAGAAGAGGAAAAACCTAGCAGGAATACATTTTCAGTATAGGAAAATTATAACTTTTGGAATGGATGGATTACATTTAAATAGAGTAGGGGCTTACTTGTTTGTAAGGGCTATTAACTCAGCTGTAAGGGAGGTTTTAAGTTAGGACTAGACACTGGTGAGGGCCAGGATAAACTAAATGCCAAAAAAAGAATGTAGAGGAAACTTCAGCATTGGAAATTAGTACAGAAGTAGTTTTAAGGATAGACTTAATTGTTACTGTTGTAATGCTAGAAGTATATGAAATATAATAGATGCAGGTCTCACAAAATTGTGTAAACACATACTCAGACTTTGTAATTACAGAGGCAATCTCTGGTAGGTACTTTCTCATAAGATTAATCTAGTAATATTCATTTAAAAGTTTTAAATAGGTGCTTGAAAAGCAAGGATCTCAAAATACTTTCATCTTTCAGTTGCATTGGAAATCTTATTGATGATTTCCAATACTACCAACTGTAAATGTTCCAGGCTTTATTGCTGATAGTATTAGTCTTTCTAACTGTGTATATAGCTAATATATTGTGGTCTGTCTCCACTGAATTTCTGCTACTGCTTGAGTAGATAGTGTGAATGATTATCTCTAGAAATATTGGAAACACATCTTGCTATCAGAAATCTCTGTAGCTCAGAAAGTACATGTTTCATACTGAAACATTTGTTAATTTCTCAGGGCAGTCCCCCAGTGGCACAGTGGTATGTCTGCAGACTTACAACGCTACAATCCAGGTTTTGATACCCATGGTGGGCAGAGCACAGATAGCCCATTGTGTAGCTTTGTGTTTAATTACAAACAAACAATTCTCAGGGCACCCCTGTGTACCCCATTTCAACCTCTGGCCATCTGATCCCTGTACCATCTTTTTTTCTAATGACATTTTTTATCTTCACTCTGACACTTGTATTGGATGCTTCCTGCACTCTTTACTACAGGGACAGATTGATTGTATCCCAAGACTGCTTCTTCCTACTCAAAACATGGGCCACCCAAAAGGATGGTTGGATGTTTTCTTTGATTACCCACCCTTCCCATTCTTCTGTGCAAGATCATACCAACCCCAGTCATTTCCTTTGATCTGTTAGGGAAGTTCTATGTTGTCTTACTTTTACTGCTAAATTTTAATTCTGAGTGGACACACCTTAACCCCTTACCTACCGTGGCCATTTTGTATTATCGTGAGGGCAAAATCACATTTGTGAATTGAAACAATGATAGAGAACTTATCTTTTATTGGTTTTCAGATTTTATTTTGTAACTAGTAGCATAACATTCAATTATTTGTTCTAAATTGTTTTATTTAACGAAGTTTGAAGAGAAATTTAATAAAAAAAATCCCAAAATACGTTTGAGACTATAAATAAGTGCCCTCTTAGAAAAATGTTTTTTAACGTTTTTAAAACTTTTTCCTTCATTTTAGTGCTGATCCTGCCATATATGATTGGTATTAAAACCTTTTTCTAGCCTATTTTCTTTATAAAACAGCATTTGTGTGTGTTAAATATCAGTTGTAAAACTTTTAGCCAATCCTAGTCGAAGGTGTCAATTTCAGTACCATGTTATTGTGTATTTCTTGATTGACAAATCATAGGATGATAAGCATAGCACGTGACAAAATTTTGTTCTCTGGATTTTACAATATGAATGTGTGTGGTGTTTATTGTAGTAACTGCCATTTTATGTAGAGGTTATATTTAGTAGTGGTCAATAGTACTTTTTTATGAGCCTTAGAAAATCTGCTTCTGGAAAAAAGTGCATGGGATGTATGTGACTTTTATTATTTTTATATAGTAGCTTAAATCATTCTATGTCGTATATCTATTTATATTAATCATTATATTGAAAAATTAACTCAAAATGGATATATTTTTAGAAAAGAAGCTTATCCATGAATGTTAGGGTTAAGATCTATCGAGTGGTGAGTGCATGGTCTTTATCTGAATTAGGCTTAACTCTTTTAACTGAAAGAGTTTGTGATTTTTATATTATTTTGCATTTAAATTAGCAGTTTTAAGTTCAATAATATAATGTAATTTATATTTTAGTTCATAATAAAAATATGATTCAGTATTTAGAATGAAAACCTTATGTGATTTGTATGCACTACTAGTACCACGTAAGAATTTTATATTTTTTCTTCTTTCTATCTTTACTTTGTAGTAAGACCCACACTTCTTTTGTTGTTGCTTTATGATTATATCAGTCTAACTGATATATAAAAAGCTTATTCTGATATTTTGCAAAGGGTTTAAAACTCAGTGTACAAATGACAACAATAAAACCCATATGTTGGTTGTGAAACAGACTAAACACATTCATCTCAGTAAGACAGGGGAAGCTGGGACATTCTCACAGTTAAGGTGTCAATATACTGAAGAGCTTAAGTTTCAAATTCCAATATACACCTTGCCTATAATGAGAGGAATGTGACCAGGACTAATCTTTTAAGTAATTTTCTTTGTAATTTAGGGTGTCTGTATCGTTTGGTAATCTCTTGTAACAGGATGTATCATGTAACTAGCGTCAGGCAGTGTTATTCAAACCACCTGTACTGTAAGCTGTTACATACATTCAGTAGTAGTGGCAATTAGTTATGTCTGTATGATGAAACAACATACGAGGATATGTGTTGAAATAAACTGGTTTGAAAGTTCAAAGAAATAATATTCAAGTATTGAAAAGCTTTTTTACTATCATATATATATATACAGTAACATTCAAATATGCCTGAACTGCACTGAACGAGAGTGACCCCAACAAGCGTAATAGTTTACAGCAAATGTACGAAGTGCACGCGGCTAACCACATGTTTTTTTTCGCACAATAAACAAAAGTACAGTTGCAATGAAACATAAACTTGAAATAAAGATACATTTATGAAACAAAATTGAAATGTTTTTTTATGTACATGTATAAACATGAAATCCTAGTTAAAAATTAAATGTAATTGTATATTACTTGAAACCATAAGGAGAGTTTGTGATTATTAAAACATGAAAAATAGACAAAATGTGAATTTTATGGATTATAAAAAGTTTGAGATTTTAAAATAATGAATTAAAACATAAAAAGTAAAAAGTTCAAAACTGGAACAAATATAAATATTGTAATCATATCTTATAAATACAATTTCCAAATGTAATTTTCCAAGATATTAAAGATCATAATGCAAAAAAACAAAATTTATCAAAAAGTAACAAGCTTTAGGTTTCTTAAACTATGTGCATTTATGAAAGTTCTTATGAAGTTTCAAACAATTTCATCCATTAGTTTTATTGTTGAAACAAAATATAGCAAGACCTGCATTGGCTATACAGAAAGCAAGTAGCTGGTAGTGGTGAGGTTAAACAGATGTAGGTTTGGGATGATTACCCGGAAGTATAGTACAGGCTATCTCCTACAATAAGAACTGAACTGTTTCTGATGGTTATACCAGCCAGATAGGTTTTGAGTTCTTTTTTGAATACTGGTCTGGGAAAATTCATCCCTGCAACTACTACTTCTGGTAACTGTTTAACATAAGTATTTCTCATATACTGTATGGCATAACTTACTTACTTAGCCCTACTACACATACATGCTCACCTGACCTTCTGAGACATGCAGGCTGGTTAAGCATTCATTCCATTCCACACTCCTGTGCAACACTTTGGCACCATTCAGGAGGTTCATTTAACCATATTGTATACTTTATCAACTCTCTTGAGCAAAAAGTGTTCAATGGATAAAATAATTGTGGTCTCCCACCAGATGATGCTACCCCCACCTCCTCCAGTGGGTATCACGTTTCATAACTTATCCCTTTCTGTAGCTGTATATTCAGAAAGGAGCTCATCTTTTTAATTTGTCCATCTACATCAGTTCCTCCACCATCTCAATATGGGATTCTAGTTCCCAGTTCTGTGAAGAGGTGAATAGTATTTCTGAAGTTAACATTTTCCTTACCTGAAAACCAGAAAATATGTTTAAGGTAGATACTAACCTCTCCATTGAATCACCCATCTTTCCTTCCCACTTCTGCTGGTTCTCTTTTTATTCCTTTTCAAGAATGAGATTGTAGTCATACACATTATGCTCAAGGAGATTACTGAGAATGGAGGATGTGTTGTCCTTCTATTGATGGGAGGCTATAGTCTAATGATGATTAGTGCAGTGAATGTTAATACTTGTAGTGATAGAAGTTTTGTACAAGTCTTAGCACACGTGTGTAAATATTTTTAGCAATGGCCTTCAGTTCTGTGGAGACATGAGTATCTATATGAAATACATTTTCAGGTAGCCCAACTTTGAAAACATTTACTTTATTCAAATAGCCTGCAAAAGCCTTTATTTTGACATGTTGGACCTTTATTTTGAAAAATTCATGTGTTCTGTACCACACAAAATTTAAATTTTGGCAGAAGGACATACATATCTATGTGTTGCTCATACTCATGCAACATCTCTTTGTAGTTTGATAGCCTTATGTTTTTATTTTAATATTATTCATTGCTTTTAAAGACTTGAAATAAAGTATTTTTAAAGTTATTTTCAGCCATCTATGGACATTATTTTTAAAGTTATTTTCAGCCATCTATGGACATGACTCATCTGCCTCATCACGTAATCTGTCCAACAAGAGAAAATAAAAACATGTTTTATATATAGGTGTGTGGTGGTGGTGTGGAAAGCAACCTAACAGAAGCAATTACCAAAATATTTGAATTGAGGGCCACTCCAGGGTACAGTTCAGACTAAGTACTGGAAGTTTACCATGATTTCTCCTAAAATTGCCAAATATAGGTAAGTGACATCAAAATTTATATTTATCATAAATAATAATAACAATTAAGACATTAGAATAAAAACTTGTATGTATAGGAAACTATAGATAGATTGCTTCCTGCGTGAAACGTAACAAAACATTGATAAAATGACTTTTTAGGGATTTGAAAGAAACATGAGATACTTTTCCATCCATAGAAGATTTCTAAGAAGCTTTTCAGAAATTTGGCATTTAATTAATAATTCTCAGCAAAGTTTTCAACAGGAGTTATTTACTAGTGTATTTATTTATTTTTATGTTCTCCATCTTTCAAGGTAAATGCATCTTGGTTGAAATTCTATATGTTGACTTTTTGGAAGCATTGTATGGTGTTCCACAGGAGTTTATTTAGTGAGTTGGATGTACAGGATTGGTACAATTGGATAGACAACTTGGGTAGTGGAAAAAGTCAGAGACTTAAGATAAATGGACATTTTGTTCAGAAATATTAATACTAGTTTGTTTCCTTAGGGGTCTGTTTTAATACTTTTTTCATATGTGCTTTAAACTAGAATATTTTTTGTACAGTAATATTAGTAAATTTTCTGATGATATTAAACTGCTGGAAAGAACCTGTTCTGTTCCCTCTTCTAAAGGACCTTGACAATTTTAGTGTGATGAATTTTGATATTAATAAGTGTAAAGTTATGCACTATGAGTATTGAATCTTGGGACATTTCCTTGTGTGGAAGATCATAGTTATCATAGAAGGACTTGAATTTAATTGCGTAGCTGTAGTTAAAAGAGCACATGTAGTTTTTAGTTGTGGCTATGTTATTTAGTAAGAATGTAAAGATTATTGTAGCCTTGTACAATACTAGTGAGGTCTATCCTGTAGAAACTTTGAGAGGATGCTTTAGATTTTTAATCTGGTTTTCTCAGGAGTGCAAGATTATTAGGGAGGGAAGTAGATACAGGAGTTCAAAATTGTTAGAGGTTTGGATAGTCTTCCAAAGGGTTATCAAAACACTGTAAATAAAAACTTTAAGCACATACTTGCTCGTTGACAAACCTTTTTTTGGTTAGATTTATAAACTTGTGATGTAATTTATTTGATACTGTGATCTACATAGTTTACTTTGTTTTAGATTTTTGTTGGATATTTATATGGATATGAAATTGGATTTAAAAACAAAACAAAAAAACGTATTTGTAACCTCAGTAGGCCAAATGGCCTTCTGTCTCCTTGCTTTTTACATTCTTGTATGTAATTCCATATAAATTATGCACTTAAGTAATCATGAGGCACACTGAATTATAGGCTCAGTCGAAGGTATTTGTTTATTACAGCTGGTAGTTTTTTACATTTCTGAAAGATTACATGCAGGTGTTTCCTCTCTAATTATTACATATGAAGAGTTTCTAACCAAGTATGATGAGCTTCTTCAAAATGTTAAGTATAGAAATATTTTTTTCATATTAAATTTTGAGCAGGGTGCAGTTAGTGAGTTTGAACAATTAACAGTGGTTCAATTTGTGAGATAGGTTTAAAGGCAGGAGAGAGCCTGCCATTCATTTTAGAATTAAGAGTATTTGATTGCTATTAGCATGATAGTTTAAATGGTTTAAAGATATTTTGTAGAGTCTCTGAGAATAAAATAATTTTATTTTCTAAGAAATTAGCTATTAGCTTATAAATGACGTGATATTTTAGAGATTAGGGAAGTTCACAAATTGTTTTTTTTCTTCTTGAAATATATTGTGGCCATAAAATCAAAACTAGTAAGGGACTGTTTTAAAGTCACACCTGGTTTATGTATGATATGGTATTGCAGAGACTGAAAAAATGCAAAGCCAGTTTTGAAAGAAAAGAAAGATGTTACCTGGTCAGATCATTAAATCACTACTGATATGTACAGATATTAGTTATGCTCTAAATACAAGAAGACTAATTTTTTTTAGGGAAATGTTGACAGGATAAGACAATGTTTGTATGCCTTAGGCTCAGAAAATTTGTTTATAGAAAAATGCTGTCTCACTTGGTGTGTCAAGGATCATATTAGAGAACATCATATTTTAGACCTTATTCATAGTATTGTGAATATGGATAGAAATGTTGAGCAAAGGCTTTTGACAACTGGTGATCTAAACATCATTATTTTAATATTTTATTAAACTTTGTACACTTACTAGAAGTCATGTTCCCCATTTTAGGGAAAACAATTTTTCAAAAATAGCAAAGGTGGTCAGGAAGTTAGTTCAAATAGAAACATTTTTTTAATGAAGGGAAACATTTATTGTAACATTATAGGATTGGCATATTTTCATTTGAAGCATTGTGGAAAGTTTTTAATCAATTTATTATAAGAATATCCACTGGTTAGAAAGAGTGCAGACAAACTCTCAGAAAGCTAAGAACTAATTAAAATATAGTAAGTTGGAAGGATACCATTTGATCCATAATTATTAGTATTACGCACCAAAATAACCAACTAACACATTTACATGTAGCCCTTCAAATGACTTAAGAAATTTTAGGCACTGCATTTGGAAAAAGATTAAAGTGTTTGACTTTTCTTTGAAGCATTGAAGAATTAAATTTGATGTGATTCACGTGCTCAAATTTGTTAACAGTTTTGATAGCCTTTATATGGGTAATGTGTTTGAATAACAAAAGTTAAAGACAACAAGACATCTAGTCTGCCCCATCCACTAAACTAAACTTAAAAACAACTTAAAACTTGCTCTCTGTTATTCAAATAACTATCATGCCTTCCCTGAAACTCCCTTAAATGTACTGTTTCCATTATGGCTGAAAGGAACCCATTCTAAAGGCCAACTTCCCAGTTAGAAAAATAAAACTGTCTTAACTGAAGATGATTCATATCTGGTCAAAATTTATGTGTGTGTGTCCCCTAGTCCTACTATTCTCACTATTAAACGTAAAAAAAAAAAACAACAAGATAATGCATTGACAAATTGAATAAAACCTCACCAGACTTATTGTTTGTTATAATAAAAGCATTTTAAGTTGATGCTGGTTTTCTAGTCTGAGACTAGTAAACATAATGTACCACTAGTACTAGTTGAATTGGCTAGTACAGTTTTTGAAAACACATAGCTTCTTCACCTGTGTGCTGTATTAGCCATGTACTATTGTTAAGTTTTCCTCTCTACATATGCTTCACTTCAATTACCTGTTTCAACTTAGATGATGCAACTTGTAGTTTTGTCATATTTCACAGTCAGCTGTATTTTTACAGTACAGTACCACATATGATAAGTTCAGAAACAACACTTACTCGTAGTTTAAAGAGGGCCCATAGGGACATTGCTATCATTTAATAAAATAATATCTTCATTTTAAAGGTTCTGTTAATTTGATCTTTTCAGAATTGTATCATTTTTAAAACATCTAAGAGAAGTGAAGTCATCACATGACATGTTATGTAGTGTTATACTGATCATGTCACAATTGGAAATCACTGATTGTCAATTAATATGGCTCACAGTTGGCCCGATTCTGGTTATGTACAGTAAAGTTGATGAAGTCATTGTGTATTCTTGTTGACAGTTTAATCTTAACAATTGTAACAACTACAGAGAATTTACTTTGAAGCTTCAATAAATTTGAAATGGTTGAAGTTATCAATAAATGTGCCATGCAAAAAAATCACAATCTCTTTTCCATTTTTTATTTCAATGAGTGAAAAATAAAAATTGGGACTGACCTTGTGGCTAGTACATGGTCGATACATAACGTTATGTAACCATTGTGAGAGACAAACAAATTATTGAGGTTCATTGCCTAAATTCATCATTCACTTTAGTAATAAGTTCAAAGACTTTTGCTATCACTCGACACATTTTAAGCTAAACCACTTTTTAAACCAAAGGAAGTATTCCAACCAAAGGTCAAATAAAGTGACAGCATTTGAAAGTTTTTGTTCATAAAGAGAGGATTCTTCAAATCAGTTGTTGAAAGATTTTTTTTAATTGGCCTTATTAAAAAATGCTCCTAATTGTATCTTTATTGCATATATAATAATCAACTTTTCAACCTTAAAAAAAAAGAACAAAAAAATGACAGCTTTATCTGCATTATAATGAAGACCCACTGGTTGAATTATTTAAACTTTATCACCTCCCAGCTTGACACACATGCTTTCATCAAATGTGTTTCAAGTCTCAGTACTTACACCATGCCACTTTTGACAAATTTGCTAAAATCACTCCTCTGTTAGTTACAGGTGCAACTGACAGTTGATTATGACAATAGTTGGGCCTTTGTGATTCTTGTTTTTCAACCATTTTTTGTGATTCTTTTTTTTTCAACCATTTGCTTCCTACTTGAAGAACCCAGAATATCTAGTTTTACTCATTCAGAAGAAAACCAACCAATCTGCAATCACATTTGTCAAGCCACAACTAACTTTATGGTAACTTCTTGGAACTATGTGTATTCATAAATAAAGGGACTGTCAAATGATGAAATGGAATGTTCCATAGTTGTCCAATAGGTTGTTTATTATGTAAATATTTGTACTTTTACCACTTTCAACTTATAGTGACATCTCTGATAGTGATGTACAATTCAAACAAACGACAAATGTTCCTATTAGAAAATAATGGGACTTTCCAAATTTCCAATTGCTCTGTTGTAGTGTGCTCTTCAGCGACCTCCCCAAACAACAACCTAATACAATGCAGTACTAATGGGGAGCCACGTGGTGTATTATCCTGAGAATTTTGCAGGAAGTTTCTTCACATATTTCTGGTAAGCACACAGTGTGTATTAGCTCTGTGCATAGGGGTGCTGCTATCAACCATTTGCTAATCCATGGTCCGTAAAAAAATGGTGTTACTTCAGGGAGGGGAGGCATTTTTAAAAACTTTTCTTTCGTTCAGTGTATCAACTTCCGTAAGTAATCGAGAAAGAGACAGAGATTGTTTTAACTTATGATATTTTATTCTTTGGTGAATAATGTTTGGTGTTGAAAGAATAAGGAAAAAATAGAGGATTTTGATTGCAAGCATATTTACAAATCAGAAGTTTGTTGTTGTGAATAAAGTGATCTGAGTATTGTTAGTTTTAATTTATCAGTAATTAATTTTCCATGATCAGGAAATTTGAAAAATTCTACTGCTACAGATTGTCACCTGATTATGCAATAATAGGCCTGATTCTGATAGCCAAATCTATTATTGGTAAAACATTGATGTTATGAAGTGTATTTACATATACATATTTACATCGACAGCAGTTTTTCAATCTTGCAAGACTGAGGGCTCGCACTAACACTATGTAATCTGCATAAGAGAATTTCTGTTTGCTGATGATGCAGCATTTGTATCTAATTCCATAGATGGGCTGCAGACCATTCTAGATCATTATGCTTCTTAAAAGACAACTGTGCTGGGCTGATGTTGTGTTGCATATACCAGGACATAGACTTCCAAAGTGGTTGAGAGGTTGACCAAAGCTGCATTACAAAGATGTAATATAGCATCACCCTAGCTATCAATCGTGCAGAATGGTACAAATCCATCAAGGATGGTTCAGAGGTTGTACACCAAAAATGGGTGGAGGTCTCACAGGATTGTAAAGCATAGAGACACGCCTTGACTACAGTTCCTTGTACAGTACAGTGCGACATTCATGAAAAGAAATGTGCCAACAATTTTGGCCATTGATCACACAAGTACTGGAAGCACGGCCGACAATCCAAGCATTGATAGATTATTGTTAATTCAGTTCTTCCCCTTCTGCTGTCCTTCTTTGTTCTTATTTTTCCAAGGATGTTACTGCACACTTATTGGTGGAGGATTGTTCCATGATGATTTGCATTGCAATCAGTTAATTCCAGGTGAGTAGGACACTTTTCTCTTTCCATCACACCAGTCTCTCCACTTGTTCAATGTGGGATTCTAGCTACTTATGCAAGCAGAGGTAAGATACGATATTGGAAGTTATAATTTTCCTATACTTAAAATGTATTTCTGATAGGTACTTACCTCCTGTCACACATTTCACCCCCCCCCCCATTGAAAACCGGTAGTTTTAGTGATAGTTTGGTGGAATTGAATAGAGAGAGTCACATGTGTCAAAAGAGAATGTCACACTCTTATTGGTGGAGGGTTTTTGCATGATGATTTGCATGCAAGATTCATTAGAATCTGTCAATTCTAGATGTGTGAGAGCTTCAAGGCTTGTGGCATGATTAAAAAAATTTTTGGCATATAGAAGGTAGCACTTGAGGAGAACAGCTTTTATGTGAGAAGAGGTAAGTATCTATCGAAAATACATTTTTAGTATAGGAAAATTATAACTGTGGTGTACCAGGATTTTCAGAAACTATTTGACAGGATGATGCATAAAAGGCTTGTTAAAAATGACTATAGGTGCGGGGGATGAGTTTTGTCATTAGATATAAAAGTGGATGTATGGAAGAATGCAGGGTTTTATAAATGGAGTTCAGTCAAACTGAATTAATGCTACCATGGGGTATCTCAGAGCTCATTATTATGATCTTTGCTCATTTTTATTTGCTGCTGCTTGACAAAAGGATTTAGATCATTTGATGTAGTTGATCAAGTAAATGACAGATGGCCATTAATTATAATAAATACAAGGTAATGCATGTAGGTTATCATAACTTGAATTACAAGTACAATTGTGCTGGGAATAACATTAATTACGTTATGGAAGAAAAGGATCATGGTAATCTGGTTGATCAGTCTCATGTCAATTGTATGGCCAGTGGCAGTCATATAGGGTGTTCAGGCTATGCAGTGCACAGGAGCCCTGAGCTCTAGGGGGCCCACCAAGCCCTAATCCAATTAACTTTAGAAGATCTGCTAACAAATAGTGGCAAACTGAAAACAGCAAAGTTTCAGAAAGACTGTAATGTCAGCAACTGGTGATTATTGAGAGCAAAGTTTCAGAAAGACTAATGTCAGCAACTGGTGATTATTGAGAGCAAAGTTTCAGAAAGACTAATGTCAGCAACTGGTGATTATTGAGAGCAAAGTTTCAGAAAGACTAATGTCAGCAACTGGTGATTATTGAGAGCAAAGTTTCAGAAAGACTGTAATGGCAACAACTGGTGATTATTGTTCTACCAGTCATCCTTTGAACAAGGTGTGGGTCTGTCCTGGGTCCATAACCAGTTTTCTTGTGGGATTATCTCTTTGTCCCATTTTAGTTAATTTTTAAATATTTTGTGATGATTTGATATTTACTGTATATGACTAATTTATTTTTATTTTAAGATTAAGATTACCATAATGTATTTACATTTATTAGTAATGTATTTAGAATTTAATTACAATTGCTTTATGATGCAATGTATTTTCTATATTACAAATAGGGAAAGAGTAATTTATTTAGTATTGAAATGCATTTGAAATAATTTCTGACCATCTTTTAATCTTTGCTTTATTGAAGTGTTTCTTTTGTATATGTGCATGTATGATAAATACAGTTAGTAAGTTATGTAATTTATCCCACACAAGTGCCCACAATTAAGTATGGCCACAGCTGGGTAGGACAAATAGGATTTATTTGTAGGTTTTATCTACAAAAATATTAGATACAAGTCAAAGGAGACTATAATTTCATGATATAGGTCACTGGTTAAGTCAAATTTTGAGTATTGTGTTCAGTCTTGTGCTTTTTATCCTAGGAAGGACATTGAATTGTTGGAAAGGGTTCAGAGGATGAGGGCAACTAGGATGAAATATGGGATTGAAAGGTTGTCAAATGAGAACAGGTCAAGATACTTGAAATTGTTTTCTCTTGAAAAAAAAAGAATTAAAAGGGATCTGCTTGGGTTGTTAAGGAAATTAATAGTGTTGATGCATCGTCTTTTTTTTCACACTTAATGGTTTTGACAGAGGTAAGAGGTCACCTTCAGCTAAGTCAGTTTTATTTTTCTAACAGGGTAGTTGGCCTGAAATGTGTGTAAGGTGTATGTTGAATGCATAATTCTATATGTAGAATGCTAAACTGTAAAACTTCGAACTGAGCTTTACAAAATGTGAAGTATACATTGAATGCCTTGAGTCCTATACATTTGATGCTTGCTTGAACTGACCTTTATAGAATGCAAGGTGTGTTTTCAATGCCTAGAGTCCAGTATGTATGTGCATTCATTTTCAGCTCAATAAAGTTGTATGGCTGAAATGTTCTTAGCATTTGTAGTCTCAAGTAAATTCAATTTCAGAATATTATTAATCGGATAGCTTGAGTCACTTGAGTCATAATTGGGTTAATCTACTCAAAATCAATCTCAATGTGAGTTTTGAAAGTGGTTTTGTAATGATTTATTCAAGTGTAGCAGTGCTTTAAGTTAGTTAGAATATAAATAAATTGCATAGTTTTGTGCTCTTTAATCCCCAGGTAAACAACAAAGCCTAGAACAATCAAGATTACATGCCAAAGTTTGTACCAAGTATGTTCTGTTTTTACTTTATATTTAATAATTTTCTATTATATTGCAGAATAATATCCTAAACATTGATCTGGTTACTTATTATTTCTAAGTTTTCTTAAATTTTGGTAAGAACTTATCTAGAACAAAGTAGAATTTTTATCTCTCATTTAAAATGATGATATTCAGTTTAAGAGTATAACTTGATCTTAAGTGGTTTTATGAACTGTACATTAGGTAATCGGAATTAAGGGCTGTATTTTGTATTTTAAACTTAGTTTTTTTCTGATGGGTCAGTAAAAATATTGTTAATTGATTCTTTTTATTTTTCAAAAACCACAGAACTATAAGGGTAATAGAGTTAAATCAGTGGTATTAAAACTGAAAAGGTTACTCGATTGTGAAAAGACTAATTTCAAATAGAACTAGATTGCTTGTCATCACTGCTGTATCTGTTATATCCCAGCTGGCCTGATAAGCCTTATTATTGTCTGAAACGCTTTATCAGTACCAGATATAGCAGATCTAGTGTGGTTAACATATTTTTATACATTTTCCTTTACTTTCACTCATAAGTTTCTGAGAGTTACTAATGTAGTCTTATTCTGTTTTTCTGTGGTTGCTTGACCTGCTCTGCAAACAATAAGATTAACTTGCTGGCTTAACAGGTCTTCTGAATGACAAGTAAAGTTAATCCAAGTAAAAAATTAAAAATTGATGTTAAATAAATAATATTGTGTGAATAATCCTTACTGTAATTTTGATTTGTAGATGACTTAAATGAAATTGATAAAAATGTAGTTCACACCATAAAAGTTGTTGTTCGTGCTGTTTGATAATATAACTAGCATCTCAATCACTACTATATCTGTTTTAATGAGCCCTTGTATTGTATGAAAGGCCTCAGTCATCACGGGATAAACCAGATATAGTGTGTTTGACATATTGTTATATTATACATTCATTTTTACTTTCACTCTTGTTCTTAGAAATGTTATATATGTAGTTCACTTTCATGCTCATATGGCTTGTTATTTGAGTGCTAGACTGTTCAGTTTTCTGCTCACTGTAAACTTATCTAAACTTCAGGTTTTTATATGTATTACATTAGTAGTGTTATGCATCTGTTGTAGTATGGATGCCAGCCTGACAGTCCCCCTTTCTCCAGTGGCGAAAAATTCATTTGGAGAAAATGAATCAGGTAGTTTTTGTTTATTTTGGTTAATTTTCATTTCAAAAATAATTTTTTTTTATCTAAGCTTCTTGAAACATTGTTGTCACTCTTCTTCTTGCAAAATTACTAGAGTGTATTGTTTTTGATAAATGAAAACCTAAATTAACCTAAAACTCTAGAAACAATTTTATTTTGGCTTTTTATTTCATTGTGATGGCTTAGTTATGGTTTATAGTCCCTGATAAAGCAGATGAACTATTTATCAAAAATAATTCTTAACTGTTTATTTACCAACTCACAATATACTTGTTCAAGTACTAGAATTTTTGTAATTATCAAGATTAATTTGTAGTTGTAAAATAAATAAGAAATTTATACTATAAAGATAACCTGATGAAAGAGCTAACATGTGGCATAAATATTGCTGGAATAAAAAAATTTAAACCAAAACTTGAACTATTTCTAATTCCTTGTTCAATATTTCAAATAAGGTACATTACTTCTACTCACATAAATAGCTATTCTCGTTCAGTGCTGCCCTCTATATGCAAAACATTTTAAAAAAATCAGGCTACAAACCTTTTATCACCTATCAGTTGGAATTGACTGATTCTAATGCATCTCTCATGCAAATCATCATGCTACACCCCTCCACCAATAAGAGTGCGACATACTCTTCTGATGCATGTGACTCCCTCTGTTCAACTCTACTGAACTATCACTTCTCGTTTGGCAGTACTCATGTGCAAACATTTTTTCTTTTGGTGCTTTTCACGTGATTCACATTCATGACTTTAATCGTTTAATTTTTGAAGTAAGATTTCTTCATTGATTTTTTTTCTTTACGTTGAAGAAGTCTAACGTAGTTTCCCAGTCTTTATTTTTGTTTCTCACACACATATTTTTTACATCAAACACTTTTGTTTGATATATATTTCTACAATAAATTCTGAGGTTCATGCTACCACTTCGGGTATCATACCTCTTACTAGCACTATTTCACAGGCTGCAGGTGGGGGAGACTCGTAGTTGGATTTACATTTGATTATCTACCGTGATATTAATTGTTATATGGGTCAACCTCCTCCTCCTGAGCAAGCTGGCTGATGAAGATTTTGATAGCCTTTTTCCACCACTGGAATTTGTCAGGTATCTGATGTTTTATCCATTTCCTCGCTTTCCTATAATCCCCATCCTTTGTTGCATGATAGTTCTTCCTCTCTATATTTTGTTTTCATACCCTTCCCAGATATTAAGGTTCATGCTGAACTATTTGCTTCAAAATTGGTTGAGAGTGCCAGCATGCCTCACCCTCCACAGGCTACGGATCAGTTTGCATTAGCTTATCATCAGGCTGATTGTCTGTTTCTCAATTCTCAACAGTTGTGGTCAATTTTACCTGTGTGTGGGGGCAGTTCCTGATTTTCCTGTGCATTTAACCCATACCCAGTTTTCATTCCTTCATTTTACCCTTACTTCCCTTCTATGGTATTTATCTGCTATCCATCTCCTTTCCAAGGTGACTGACTGTGACCCTGAGGGTTTTTCGAGGGAAAGCTTCTTCCTCATTACCTCTATGTTTGTTTGTTTGTTGTCTTTGGCTCTTGCTTTACACATGTAGTTTCTCTGTTGGGATCTTTTGAGATGTGTCATTGTTCCAGGTTCATTTGCCACCTCTTTTTTACCTTAGGAATTTACATATAGCCCCTTATCTCCGGTGGTATGTTTTTGATCATTTACCTGAAACTTTGGAATTGTGTGTGGAGTCTATGTGCCAACACTCTACCCTTTCTTCTTTGATAGCATATTTGTTGCAGTCAGAGCCAAGATAGGCCCCTATTCCTGTTTCCCATCCTATTCCTTCTCAGCCCTTACCTGCTCCTCCTTCCAGGGATTTCTCATCTTGTTGTTTTATTTGATGTAGGTGGGCTCATCACCAACACTACTGGTGACTACCCACTAGGTTCCAGTCCGGTGGGAGCTCGATTTGTATGAAATTGTTCCCCTTTGGCAATCTTTCACCACAGATCCCTGGATTCTTTGGGTTTTATCAGAGGGACTTGTCCTACAATTTCTTTCTCCCTTACTTTGTTTTAGGTACCTGTTTCCTTCCCCATGCCTTGGGATTCTATCATCAGCCAGCATCTGTCAAGAGGTGGTACAAGACCTTCTGTCTCAACAGGCCATCGAACCTTTTCATCATCTTTCTCCAGGCTTTTATTCCAGGCTGTTGTTGTCCTCAAGAAAACTGGAGACTGGCAGTCTGTAATAGATATGTCCTGCTTCAATCAGTTTCTGAATCTGCCCCATTTAACCATGGAGTCATTTCTCACCCTTAGGTGGGCTTTTTATCCAGGTTTATGGATGACCAAAATGGACATTGCAAATGCTTATTTGCATATCCCGATATCTTGTCAGTTGTGACCCTATCTTTGTTTTGTTCACCATGGGATGGCTTATCAGTTTCACGCACTGCCCTTCAGGCCTACTTCTGCCTCGTATGTTTTTTGTCTGGTGGTCAGAGCATTCACTCGTCACTTACATGTTCTCAGGTTGCACTTTCATCATTATATGGATGACTGGCTACTGTTAATTCATTCTGAACAGGAGTTCACTCGTCACACTCATCAGCTGCTCCTGGAGGTGGCTCGAGTGGGCTGCTTAATCAAGTTGGAGAAGTCATTCCTGTGACCTACCCAATATTTTGACCACTTGTGTATGTTTTTCGACACCCAACTCATTCGGGCCCAACCTTCTCCTCTTTGACTTCATTTGATAAAGCTTTCAGTTCTCCATGCTCTTACTGCTCCATCTATTACAGCTTGTTTGGTTCTTTCACTTTTGGGGATGTGGTCTTTCATGGCAGCTCTTTATCCCCTTAGGTTGGGCTCATATGTGGGCTCTTCACGACCAGTAGAATCTTGTGAGGGATCCTTTGATGGCTTTTATTACCCTTCCTCCTACCCTTGTTGACGACCTGCATTGGTGGTTGTACAAGACTCGCATGTTGGCGGGCGTCACGCTTCCTCCTTGTTGTCCAGATTTACACCTTTTCACAGATGTAGTCCTTCTTGGATGGGGGTGTGGGTTGATCAACAGGAAGCTTAGGGGTATTGGTCTGTGGCCTCATCATATCAACATCCTGGAGCTTCTTGCTGTATGTTGTGGTTTGGTTAATTTTCTCCATCTGGTCAGAAATCATCTGGTAATGATCCATTCTGATAATTCTACAGTGGTTATCAGAAATCATCTGGTAATGATCCATTCTGACAATTTACAGTGGTTACTGATCTCATTCATAAGAGCAGCACCTGTTCTTGATCCTTCTCTATTAATATGTTTGATCTTTTTTTTCTTCCATACTCTAGATATTCATATCATTGCGTGTCATGTTCCAGGTGCTTTCAATCTTGTTGAAAATCAGCTTTCCCATCCAGACAAAGTCTATCCAACAGAGTGGTCTCTCAATCCTCTTGTTTTCTATTCCCCCTTCCTCCATGGAAGATTAACAGTGTAACTGGAACGTTTTCCACCATTAGTCTCTGGGTTGAGGGTTTTCCCCTGCTTAACCCACTGTTCCTGATATTATGGATTTCCTCTCTTGGCTTTTCAGTTGGGGGTCTTCTGTTTCCACGATCTTGGGTTATTGGGCAGCCTTGTCCTACACCTTTCATTTTACCAGATACTGTACGGTGTTTACCTTTTCTATGCTTTCCCTGTTGATGCATTCCTTCTGGATTCATTGTCTGCAATGGCAGGCTACCCTTCCAGATTGAGATGTTCATGTGGTCCTTCACTGCCTCACTTTTGTCTCCATTCGAACCACTCTTCATGTGCTCCTTGTTTCACCTTTCCCCTAAGACTTATTTCCTTCTCTTAGCTAGTGGACATCAGAGGTCTGATTTATTTACCATTGATGTTTCACGGACTCTTTATCATTCTACATATCTTCTCCTTTAGCCAAATCATTATTTTGCTCCCCAAAGCTTTGGTGGCTCATGAGGGTAACTCCTCCTTTTCTCCAATTTCCCTTCCTTCCAATTCCAACCTTTATCCTCAGCCCAATCCAGATAGACTTCTATGTCCTGTACGTGCTTTTCACTGTTATATTTCCTGCATGGCTTCCTTCCATGGTGCCTGTTCCCGCCTCTTTATTCCTTAGCAGCCATCCTCTAATCGTGATTTTTCGTTTACCACCCTCACCAATTGGATTTGGCTTTTAATTTGATTGGCTTATTCCTTTCTATCGTCTTCCTCTCATACTTTGTTCCGGGTGTCTTCTCATTGGCATTTCATCATCGTTGTTTATTGGAGGAAATTCTTCAATTGGGCATGTGGACTACCCCTAATACGTTTGTCTTTCACTATTTGCATAGGATTGTGGTTTCTTCCTCTTCTGGCTATCATTTTTCCACCTGTTGCCATTCTTCAGATTTCATTGAGATTTTGATTGGGTAAGTTATTTTTTATTATTCTTTACTTTCTTTTCAGGGGCCTTTTTTCCCCTTTTTATTATTACTCATTGTTTGGGTCCTGCTCTGAGGCCATGTTGACTTACATATTATAATGCAATGCACACTGCAGCAGTGGAGTGTTCCACAAGATTGATTCTAGGTTTATCCTTGTGATAGAATGGCTTCATAAGTTTGCTCGTCCCAGACCAAACTCACCCAAAGACTACATGGGTAAAACAGAAGGAGATAGCTGCCCATCCCTTCCATGCCTTGTATTAAATAAATTGGTATGATCTGCTTTAAAAAATAGGGTTTCATGGTCACCCATTGCACTGTTTCGGGTGTTGACATTCCTCCGGACTCTCCACCACGTTTCCCCCCGTTTCTTTTAGTGGAGTGTGATAGTTCTTGCTACTTTCCAGTTTCAAGCCACTTGGGTGGTGGATTATGGAGGTATCCTCCTGAATGGGTTAATGAAGTACAAACAAAATATAGAAATGATTATAAAACCTTTCAGTTGAGTGTAGGGTAGTAGTGTTCTGCTGGTGTAGATGATGTGATATCTTCCAATATGAAACCAAAAGAAATGGGAGTGAGCCATAAAAAAATTGCAGTTCACCTCTTCGATTGGGATCCCTCATTCTACCCCTATGTAGATGTTGGTTCCTAGTAGCTGGGTTTTGGATTTAGAGTTGAACCAATCAACATAAGTCCTCACACATGTATTACAGATGTCTATATTCCTCTCTCATTTACACTCATGTTACTCCTTCAGTGTTGTGGTCATGGTTAAGGTACTTGAAGATTATTATGGTTCTTCCCCACCCACTATCTGTTGATGCACAGGATGCTACTGTGCTTTGGGCAGTTCCAGTCAATTTCAGTTTTGTGGGAGATGATTTGCATTATGCAGACATCTTTTCTATACTGGATATCGGGTTCCCATATCGATCTATCAATTTCTTATATTAATATGTGCCTCGTTCATGAATTGGCGGTGTTCTAGATTCCCTCCAGTCTCATGGAGATGGCTGAGTTTTGGATTGTAGTTGACTTGACATCGGTGTGATCCTCTTTCCTACCCCCACATGGATGTCAGTATCTGAGTTTTGGATTACAGGTGACTTAACAATGGTATGATCCTCATTCTACCCCCTTTTTGGATGTCAGTTCCCAGCAGCATGTATTTTGGGTGTAGTTTACTTGCCATTGCACGGCCCATTGTGCCCTAACCACTCTACACCTAGGGCACAACCTAAAATTTTATGTTTTCTGGGATAGAGTTTCATAACTATTGTATGGTTTGAATCACTATCCAGTCTAAGTTCTCTCCCACTTTGATGTGCCCTTCTGTGTGTGGGATTGTAGCTATTTATGAGTGGAGGTAATGTACCGTATTGGAATTTATAATATTCCTATACTGAAAATGTATTTCCAATAGATACTTACCTCCTTTCACATTTCCCACCCTTCTTCCCCACTGAAGACAAGACCAGTGCTTTCATCTTCTGCCAAAACTTGAAGTGATAGTTTGGTATAATTTAATAGAGGGAGTCACATGCATCAAGAGAGTATGCTGCACTGTTATTGGTGGAGGGTTGTTGCATGGTAATTTGCATGAGAGATGCATTGGAATCATTCAATTCCAATTGAGGGGAGATAAAACGCTTGTGGCATGTGTAAAAAAACTTTTTTTGTCATATAAAGAGTAGCACTGAATCAGAATAGCTATTTATGTGAAAAGAGGTAAGTACCTATTAGAATTGCATTTGCAGTATAGAAAAATTATAACTTTTGTACTTGGTATAGTTTGAATCCTACTTTGCATGTTGTTATACATTGCATAGTAACAGTTACTGGATGTTTTTCATAATTAATTTTTCCTTAATTTTTATAATTGACATATATATACACATACAATTCATCCATACACACTTGTTCATGAACTTTCTCCAAACTTTAAGTGTAGTGTAATGTCAGGAATGGACAGATAAATATTTTGATCAAGTTAAATCAAACCTGTTCAGTAAAAAAATCAGTAGATACAAACAATTAAAGTTCTTTCAATATTTTCTTAAATTTAATAGGAAATACTACATAGTATTATTCAATCAATGCAAAACTTACTTCTAACGATCAGAAGTGAATGATACATATATTAATATAATTATGCATTTTCCCTTTATTTTCAGCTCTTTCAGATAATTTATGCCTTCACGTTTGGTTCTGTGAAGGTGTTAATAAAACTACCTGTTTTTTTTCAAGCCATATTAATTTGCTGTGTCCACACAAGAAACTCAACTTTAATCATTTAATTTTGGGTATTTTTTTTTACACTGAGCTTTGGTTGATTTATGCTTTTGATAAATTCTTTGCTTTTAATTAGATACAAAGGGCGAGTATTTTAAAATCTCAATAGCAAGGTCAGTTATTTTGGGCTTCTCTCAGTGTTGATTGCAAAATATGTATGGAATATCAAAAAATATTTTTGTACTCAAATGCTTCATATAAGGTAATAGACATACCTTAAGCTATTTTGTTAAAAAAAAAATATAATGAGTTTTCTTTGAGAAAATAAAGTAGTTAAATACTAAGATTGGAAAGTACATTTTAATTCAGTTAAAAGATATTATTCAAATCATGTAGCCTTACCTCTGAAATACTGATAGCTTTTCCTTGTTGAGCTGATCATGCTTTCAACATCCATGTCATTCAAAGTGTTTAGTGACCTTTATGCAATGTAGAGCATTTGTCAGCTTACTCAGAATCTTCTATTCTTCTTTCTTCCATACGACTTACTGAGTATGTGTTAGGAGAACCTACATAAACTCTGTCTTCCCTCTGTAATTAAGATTTTCTTTCTGCATCTGTTTCTACCAATAAGAGAAATTCTGCATCTTCTTTGGCTGGTGTCCTTGGTGGGTTTCACATTCATTTTCAGGATGCTCACCCTTTTCTTGTGATGGTACAAAAACCAAACTATATTTTACTCAGATTTTTTTACATTCATTGCTGAAAAACAGGATTTTTAGTGAAGTATGAAGAAGCTTCTGCATGTCAGTAAATTTTTTCTAATCAAGTATACAACCAAATTAACTTTATCGATCCGGGTACCCTTTACTACACACGACACAAGGTTTTAGTGTCTTACATTCAAAATTTTGTTAAATTACTTTTTGTTTATTTTATACCAATTAGAATAACATAAAATCTTAGCTAATAATCCAAATTTTAATAATATATAAGTTTTAAGTCCTTAATTCTACAAGGCAATATTCAAAGAAATCCTGAATTACCACTAGTGTGACCCACGTGACACATTTTTTCTTAGCATGTTATCATCCCTATTTTATCCACCACCCCTAGAAAAAGTAGGAAAATAAACGTAAAATACTCTAGCTACCAGAATTAAGGAGCATGCACAAAACAACCCTTCCAACACCAGTGGAATTTACAACCATCTAAGCAAAAACTCTAATGAGAAACATAACTGAACACTTCAAAATAATAGACTCAAAGAAAGACAAATGAACACTAAGGAAAAAGGAAGTGTTCTTAATTCAGAACTTAAAACCAAAGCTGAACAACCAACTAGCAATGCCATTGCATCTCAAACTGTGATAAACTTATCATACCTGAAATGGGCAAAGAGTGAAAACAAATATCCACATCTATTTCAAGTGCAGCTTTTCTTACCTGTAGACTTTACTGACATAGTTTCTGTTACCATGTCATTCTTATGTTGTCTTGACACCTGCCCATGAAACTGTTACAAGGTATTTGTCACCACCACCAATTGTTTTTCTTATGTTTTTTCTCCTGCACTTGTCTCCCAATTCATGAGAATCATGCCAGCAGAAGCTTATCATTTAGTTTTGGTAATTATTTGTTTTGAGACAATCAGCAAGTAATGTTTGTTTTTCTTCCTTCCTTGTCTCCTTTATCTTCTTCTCCCCACCCATCTTCCCACAACTAGATAACTTTGCTTTTCCATCTCAGCTGAGTTATGAATTATAGTGGGAAAGGGTAAATTGGTGGATGCTCTACATTGCATGAAGGACTTTCAGAACTTTGAGTCATATAGTTGTTGACAGCACAAAAGCAAGTCGACTAGGAAAGGTTATCAGTATTTAAGAGGTAAGTACCTGTTTGAAATTCATTTTAATCCTAAAAGAAGGTAAAATTTAGTTAGTTGGAGACTAACATCAGTTTTTGTAGTTAATGCTGTTTACTGTAGTTACTGTTGTACATGATTATTAAAGCTGACAGTCTGTTGAACTAAAGCTGTAAGGGTAAAATGTCAGTAGAGATGTTTGTTTGGCTAGTGCTGGGTTAAACTGTAATATGTGGAAATTAGTAAAGTTAGATTTTTGAGGAGTGGATGGTTAGGATGCATGTATTTCACAGAAGCTACTTTAGTGACAATCTCACCAGTTGTGGCTTATCAAGTAACTCAAGCAATTTGAGTATGTGTTAATTTTCTGTGTTTGTTATGCATTTTTATTATAAGTGAAACTTTGCACAAAGCCTCCAGTTTCTCCCCGGCCTCAGTCTGCCTCTCCCAAACCTCAGCATAGTGATGATGATATCAGACTGGGTGGTCCTTGCCATTCAAGGAAGAGGGGTTCATGTGAGTCTTCAAAGCTTGGAAGTCGCGCTAGATCAGCTTCAGCAGGAAGAAATCCTCAAAAGGACTTGAGAGCTAGGTACTGGGCATTCTTGTTTGATAACCTGAGTCGTGCTGTTGATGAGATCTATCAGACCTGTGAGATGGATGAAAGCATACTGGAAAGCAAGGTGTGAAATATTATTGTATTATATAATTTTCAGAAAGTTCTAGAACTTTATTATAGGTCTGAGTGTTTCTCCCATAACTAAATGAAAACAATTTGAAATTAAGAACATTATACAATTTAGATAAATTATAATTTTGTAATGATTTTTGATGCACTTCTCTTCAGAATTACAATGAACTTTCATGTTGTATTGTTTTGATGAACAGTAATTTAATTTTATCATTTGTTATCCTTTAGCATGTTATGAATGCTTATAATTTTACCAAAAAAGTGGAAAAGACAATGTTTTACAGCATTCCTTGCTTTCATCTTTAAATGTTCAGCTTTTCTTAACTCTCTCAGCACGGACTCGGCCCCAAGGACTGACCTTGTAACCATTTTGTGCTTGTTATTGTTTTTATGCTATACCTTAAATTAGTAAGCATATTTTTACGAAATTTTGGAGATAATCAGTAAACATTACAAGGCTTTTGTACACAAAATATCAGATTACTTTATTAAATATTTGGTTTTTAAATAATGATTTTATAATACCTTTGTCTTTTTGAATGTCTACTATCCAATATGCTAGTTAATCTTAATTTTAAGAGTAGAAATACTTTTATGCATCAGAAAATTTTCAAATTTCACATGCGAAATCTTTATAACCTCCAGATAATTATCAAATGTTTTTTAATTGTTATTTTCACTATCAAGTCTCTGTACGGGTTTGGTCGATTTGATCAACCTAGTAACCACCATACAAAATTAGGAAATAAATATAAATTTTGTTTTTTTTTGTTCCAGAAAAAACACGAATGTTTAGTCTAAATAGCTTAAATCTAATAAGATTATACATTATATATATTTATTATTTTTATTGTACTGACCTTTCAGTTGTACCTGGCTAACATTACAGAAGCTGTAATGATGAGGCGTATGTGCTCTCATGTTACCGTATCCAAGAATATAAAACTGTTCTTTACAAAGTGATCTGTGTTCTAGTGGACCATTATTTTGTAAAATGCAGTCACATATCTGTTATAATGCATTATATGTGCATATACATTATTACTATTTACAAATACGTTCCTAAATTGTAGATAATTTCTTAAAACACAGAACACTAAAGAAAGAAGTATAGCAAACAATTATCTCTTCTAGTTACAAACTTTGTACTCATTTGCTGCTTGCCATAGGTTGCTTAGCCTTATCAAATTTCACACTTTGAGGGTATGAAATAAAATAATTATTTTTACGTTCTATATATACATTTTGAAAAACCAAAATACATAAATTACTATATCAATACCACAGAATTCCACTATAATTTATCAAGCTTAGTAACTAAACTGTATTTGGGTCTAAAAAATATGAAATTTCAAGCTCACTAACGTCTTACCTTACCACTTGGAATCTAGCATGAAAAGAATGAGTTTGCCACACAAATACTTCAAAGAAGCTGAGAAAGCCACTAGGGGAAATTCTATGCTTTTGATTGGTTATATGCAGATCATTGGGCGAAGTACGTGTACATAAGCAAGTATTTTCAAAAATTGAAGAGGCAAGCGGGACCATCCTGATTGATTCAATAAATATATTAATATCACAGAAAATAGAGGAGGTTGTTATTTTATATTCTAGCTTATAAATATCGGTAATTTGAGAATCTAATTCATAAGAAACTATAGAGTTTGAATTGGACATCACATACATCTAATTTGACTCAATGCTGCATTCAACATACCATGTGACATACAAAAATCGATATTTAGTTGTGTTTTTTATATTAAATATTAACTAACATTACTAAAATTAGAATTATAATCTACAATTTGATACCAAATTTATTGACAAACATTCATAAAATAGTAGTAGAATAAAATTTTTAATGAGAGTCAGCAAATTCAATGACACGGCCTTTGACCCGTGACCTGTGTTGATAGGTTTAAAGGGCTCTAACATTTTGTCTTAACTCTAGTTAAAATTTATTCAAAGAAAAGAAAAAACAATTTCCCCTTAATTACAAAAGCCATTTTGTCTTATCGTGAGGGCAGAATCACATTTGTGAATAGAAAAAATTATAGCGAACTTAACTTTTATTGGATTTCAGATTTTATTTTTGTAACTAGTAGCATAACATTCAATTATTTGTCCTAAATTGTTTTATTTAACGAAGTTTGAAGAGAAATTTAATAAAAAAAATCCCAAAATACGTTTGAGCCTATAAATAAGTGCCCTCTAAGAAAAATGTTTTTTAACGTTTTTAAAACTTTTTCCTTCATTTTAGTGCTGATCCTGCCATATATGATTGGTATTGAAACATTTTTCTAGCCTATTTTCTTTATAAAACAGCATCTGTGTGTGTGTTAAATATCAGTTGTAAAACTTTTAGCCAATCCTAGTCGAAGGTGTCAATTTCAGTACCATGTCATTCTGTATTTCTTGTTTGACAAATCATAGGATGATAAGCATAGCACGTGACGAAAC